ATCATGCGAAAAAAAAATTTTTTTTTTTCTAAAGGCAAAGCTAGTTCTTTCAGCAGAGAATTAAAATTAAAAGCAGACGGAGGCCCGGATAACAAGTACCAATAAAAGCTTTAGCTGACATAGCTTCAATTTACAAATCACTGGCTTTTCCTGGCAGAGCTCAGGGGAGGAGGGTGAGGAAGCATCGCCTACACAGCCTGGGTGAGGAAGATATGGAAATCTTTAAAATGAAAGATGCTTTCAACTCCTTATTAAAACACTTGATTTATGGGGACCATGATAAAATGCCAGGAACATCTGAGTATGCTATGCTGTCTCTGGAAACTCTGGGAGCTGCTATGTCCTTATGCCTGCCTTCCTCGTCGTATTTGACTTTGACATGTTTACTTTGTGAGCAGGAGCCCAATCCATGTAGGTACACAAAAAAGATGTGTGGCTTAGCATCTGCGTGTATTTCAATTTCTTTTTATCCAGAGCATTAGGAAGCCCCTGTGAGAGTATTAAAAATAATCTAATAACAAATAAATACTAGGAAGCCCAAGGGATATAGATTGATTTATGGCAAATGATATCTCAAGAAGTTTTTAATGACAAAATTAGGGCTCACAGGAGAGTAGGTACTCTTGGTTTTGTCTGTAAAACCTGGAAGACTACCAATAAAAAGGAACTGATGAAATTGCCGCGTTTAGAGAAAAGAATTGAGAGACATAGTATAGGAAAAGATTTTGTCTCAGCATATTAAACAATGTGAATGAGCACTCAAAGTGGATGATCAACACAGCACGCGTCATTAAAACCAGCAGAAAACCTCCAGGTTAAGAGACCAAGTATCAGCCCATAAGATGCTGCAACTCAGAAGGGCCCATCGTGGGGTGAGAAATGTGGAGGCTGTTCCCTCCGTAAGAGCTGCCCTTTCTCCCTTTGATTGTTTTTTGGGAAAGGATTTTTCTACATTCTCACTGGTACAAAACAGAGAATTCATTCTGTCTAGGATGGAATTGAGGGGAGATGGGAAAAGTTATCTTTTCACTTTCTCACCTTTTCCCAGACCCTTCAAGACAAGCCTAACTCTGCTTGTACCAGTTCTTTTAAAACAGTGGAGGCTTTTAAAAGAAACACTCTTTTCTTTCTTAGTTTTGGTGGGTTCCCCTCAGGCGTTTTTGATCTTTTCATCCCAAAGTGACTTAACCACCTCACATGGCTCTCCCTGCTGACGGCTTTAGAAAATGACTTCATCCCCTTGCCCTCCATCCGGCTGCCCATATGACCTCACCTTTGGAACTTGCCTCCAAAGCTTGTCTTCTCTCTTCCTTTTATTATTATTAAAAACCAAACCAAACCAAAACAAAAACCCTTCCCATTTTGTCAACTTCATAGAGCTTTCTGCAATTATCCCTTTCCTTGTACCAAATCTTATCTTCTCACTCTAATCTCATTCTTTTATATATTGTTTTGATAAAACATGACACAAAATTTAAAAGGTACAAAAAGGTACGTGGCGAAACTCCAACCTCATTCTCATCCCTGCTTAGCTCCTCTCCTCTCATCCTCCAATCTTGTCTCCTGCCCCAGAAGCAATTATTATTGCCATGTTCTCCCATCTTTTTCCCCCAATTTAAGATGAAAAAAATTGAAAAGGGAACAAGACCCTACATGTAATACATTTTACTCTGCTAGTTTCCTTTTAGCTTCCCTGTCTATTTGAGATATTTCTTTATTTCCTCTGCTTTCATTGATGGGCTTTTCTTTTGGTCCCTCCTTCTCTGAGGTTATATTCCAAGTCTCTTCACCTGGACCTCTCTCAGAACATGAACTAATAACCACGAACTATTTTTGCTTGTGAGAATGCAGAGTCTCACCTCTAAATGCCCAGAAAATAAAAAGATCTAAAAGAAGAAAGCAGAAAAAAAGATGTCCTGTCCGTTTGTTTATGTAATTAATCTATATGAAAAGTGCCTCTTATTCCAAATGTCAGCAGCCACCAGAAGACCCACAGTAAGGAAGCATCATCTAAATGACAATGGTTGTCTCAGAATCACAGCTGGGGAGCGAATTCAAATAGATGGATGGACAGATAGATGGGTAGTTGGATAGAAAGAGCCAGTCAACTGTGAAGTGTTACCAAAGCCCTAAAATCATATTTCATTTGATGGGAACAACAGAAGCCTGATTAATGCATGTGGGAATTTTATTTCAAAGTCATACCAATCTTTATTTCAAGGCCCTGCTTCTTACTCCTCCCTGAGTCCATGTACAACTAGCCAGTTTAAGACGTTAGGGCCCTTACGTGGTTCGTTTATCTTGTGTAATGGATGATCAAAGTAGATAATTGCTGAATATGAAACAGAATTTTTAAGTTGGGACAATTTTATTTTACCTGTCCTTAAAATATCATGCTAGATGGGTAAGCACACAACACTTTGAAGCTGCCTTCTGTTTAAGATATTACTTTTACCAGAAATGTATTGAAAGGAGGCAAAGTGAAGCCACTCTTTGAGAGAAGTGAGTTCAAAGTGGAGGAAGACTGTGTACGCTTAGGTGAAAATAGCCACCACTGGTGAGGTTATAAACTGGGCAACATGATGGCCTCTGGGGGATAATTTCCTTCTGTGATTAAGATTACATTAGTGCTCTGGAGACCAGTGAATAATATCGAATGTCTCTTTTTTTAAAATCTCAGAACTGTGAATGGTAAATACCAGTTTTATATTGACTCATTCTTTTGGTAATTCAAACATTAAAGTCTGGATGGAGTTAGGACTTGGGAAGCAAGGGGATTCTGAGTTTCGTTGAGAGACAGGAAAGCTGTGGATGGTGTAGGACGCCATCAAGGGCCAAATACAGCTTGGATAATCTTGCTAGAAATACTTTGTTTGGGGTTCACAAAAAGAATGCAATCATTTAAAATGTGCTACACAAAACCTTTCAATATCTCTTGAAGACAGACTAATGCAGAACCCAGGTCTTTTTTTTTTCATTTAGAGCTATCTTTCTGAAATACTAACAGTCCATAACGAATTTACAAATCCAGTCTGATGTAAGAGTGACAATTTAGACAACCACCAAATCATTATTTTCTTTGTTACCAAAAAATGTGGTTGAAAAGAAGAATGTATTTGAAGAAAGTTGTTTTTAACTCTCCGAAAAGTTAGTACAGTACTATATGGCTGTTTGGCATTCAGGAAATAGTAGATACACTGCTCTGGCTTGAAATTAAGTAATATCTACATTCCATTTTGTCCATCTAAGTAAACCACCATTTTGTAAAACAGGAATATTTAGCAGAGTGGGATGGATAACTAAGGTATAACATTTAAAACAAGAGTGCTAAGCTAACCCACTAGGATGCAACTGTTTTCTTTTATACAAAATTCTTGAAGAGGGTAGAAACTGCAACCAATTTGCCATGAAAGAATTAGAGAGCTAGCTGGGAAAGATGGTATTTGAGCTGTTGGCCAAAAGGAAACAGGTAATCTAGAGGAATATATAGATATGACAGACTTGCAGACCAACTAGGGAGACAGTAACTAGTACATCATACCACTTGAATACAATAATTTTCCATGTAATCATAATCTAAAATGACACCGTTGTCAGGAGCTACCAGAAGGAGACAGACTCAGACGGGACAGTCTGGGGCTGGGCAGGAAGGCAGGATCGGGGAGGGGGTGTCACAGGCACCAGCCATCCCTCTGACCATACAGCCAAAGCACAACGTGACAAAACATGAAAATAATGCATCCAAGAGAGTCTAGCTGCGGTAGCAGCACCACTGAGAAGCTCTTGCTTGAAGACAGGCTCATTACATTGCAGCATTTTGATCTGGAACCTGATGCTTCTACTCAGTAAAATCTGTATATTTTGTACATTATCATCCATGAAGTTCTAGAAACCAGGCTTGCATATACCATCCCATACACATACGGCCTAGGAGGAAAAGCCAGGCAACCTGGCACAAGGGAAAACTAACTTGGACCAGGTCAGTTCACACTTACATATCACACTTTTGTCCAGAGTCCACTCTGAAATCTGAGAGTTAGGCAGGCTTTCCCCTCAAACAATTGGAGAAGTGCCATATGCAAAGTTTGGTACCCATCTCTCCCCTCCATCTCCACCTCCCCTATGAAAAGATCTATTTTGAGCAGCTACATTAGCTTTTAGGATAGTACATATGTTTATTTTTAGAAACCGTGCCAATATTTATAATTCTTAGAGAAATTAAGTAATATAAATTATGAATTAGTATGTGTAGACAATATCTTCAAAGATGATAAAATCAAATGCTTGCGTAGCCCGAGTCTCATTGGCAGCCTGGTCCATGCTGCAGAATGGATGAACCTTGGGGACATTATGCTAAATGAAGTAAGCCCATCACAAAAAGACATACATTGCATGGTTCCACTTACAGGAGTATCTAAAGCAATCAAATTCCTAAAAACAGAAAGCAGAATGATGGTTACCAGGGGCTGCAGGAGAGGGAAATGGGTAGTGGTTGTTTACCGGGTACAGTTTCTGTTCTGCAAGATGAGAAGGTTTTGGAGATCTGTTGTTCAACACTGTCAATGTACTTAAACTCTACCGAACCTGGATACTTAAAAATGGTTAAGATGGTAAATTTTATCTTATGTTTTACCATAATTAAAAAGTGTTTAATCCCCAAATTCCTCAAGCTCAACATGTACTAGAGGTGCCTATAAGTCACAGGCCTGCAAATTCTTTTCTGTAAAGGGGCAAAAAGTAAATATTTTGGCTTTGTAGACCACAGTCTCTAACTATACAGCTCTGGCATGGTATTGTGAAAGCAGCCATAGACGGTAAGTACATGAATGGGTCTGATTGTGTTACAATAAAAACTTTATTTACAAAAACAATTATCTGGTGGGCCTTCGGTGTCTGACCCTTGCAAAAGTATTAGTATCTTAATAAGAGATAAATATTATCAGTCCCTAAATACTAAAGTTTCCTCTACCCAGGAATTATGAAACACTCTTCTTTTTCAGAGAAAAGATTAGAGCAACAGCGACAGGATGAGCTGACTCAGCAGGACCAGGACTTCTGTGCAGTCGGAGGAAACACTACACTGACGACGGGCATGGTAGGCCTGCCCCGCTGTCTATGCTATTTAGAGATGGAATCATAAACACTTAGAGCTCGAAGACGGTGTGGTGACCATCTAACACCTATCTCCCTCAGTGAATGAGAAATTGCCATAGGCTTACCACACCTACCCACGCTGTCCCAGCTGGAGCAGGCAGAGCTGGGAACAGGGTGCAGAGCCATCCCAACTCTGAAGCCACGTTCCTGCCTCCTCTTTCCAAACAGGAGCAGCAGCCACCCATCACCAGCTCCGGGGCAGTTATTGGTTTCATGCATGCTCTTCCACATGGTTTTGGCTTAACCCTGAAACTAATTTTTGCTATTCACCGAGTTCAGGGGGGAAAACCAATAAAGACACATAGAGCCCCAAAGGCCTCGTCTCATGAAATTCAGAAGGGAAAGCGAGGGTGTAATTATTTGTTCCCTTCCCAGTTGTACCATGTGGAAATGCATGTTTTTCCTGGGGCATTTAGGCAGCCTAAAGAAACAGCAACCCAAGGAGGGGGAGGTTCAGCAGCTAGATTCAGTTTTCTCAGGGACCACAAAAAAACAGGCGCCCGAGTTCAGTGACCAGAACAAACAAGGCGCACACACCAAAGACTGAGACTGACAGGTGGAAACAGAGAGTTATAAAACAGGTAGGTTAATAGGGTGTTAGCTGTACAACAGAACTCTCACTTCCCCCATAGAATTTTGGGACTAGCAGAGATGGAAGAGATAACAGGTCTCCTTATAGGCACTGCTTAGATACCCATTCAGCGCTGGTCTGCTGTACAGACCCAAACCTGACATTCTCCACACTCACTCAACCAACTCGCTGGGGGGGTCTTGGCCTGCCCTTGGCCCTGAACCAAAGCAGAGCATTGGGTTAAACCAGAAAGCTGGATGGTCTAGGCAGAAAAGAAAGGCCTTTATCACTGAATGGGGAGATGGCTGACTAGTGATAACCCTGCACTACTTGGCATCTCCAGCTCCCAGGGGACTTGCCCTCAATTGCTGAAAGAGCCCGACCTCTGACAGAGACCAATGATTTCAGCAGTAATTAATGATACTGTCAAATTAATTAACCCAGGTCTTTGTCCACAGGAAAAAAACCCTCTAATGTCAATACTGCTGTTTACTAGTCCTTGACCAAGCTCTATAGACCCAAACCTTCAGGTGGGACATAGGGACACCACTGACTGATGATCCTAATAAAGCCCCACATATTAAGCCACCACCCTTCGTTAATAAAATTCACAGTAACATATCCTTTGACAATATGACTTTAGTGAATTAACAGCTTTCCAAAATCTGAGACTATTTTGAATAGATACAAGCCTTAGAATACCTGTGTGTGCCATTCACATTTCCTACAATACCTTTTAGATACCCTTTTGCAGTATGGCAATGAAACACTAGACAAATGCCATTTAATAAACGGCCCTCATTAAATTGCCGGTTCCCTTGTCCTTGTCTATAAGGACTCCGACTCATACAAATGCGCACGTATACATTTCTTTCTTTAGAGGATTCAGAACTATTTGCTTACACCTAACACAGCTTTTATTCCATTTAGAATAATTACCCTCCATCCCCTTTCTGACTTTCAAGAAAAACAAGACACTTAATTGACCACAGGAGGACTCTCTCAAGGGCATCGGGCTACAAAAGCTCTTCTGTGAGCTCACAACTTGGGCTGATGTAATCGGCTACAAGGAGCTGACTTCTATTTTTAAATCATCCCCTTTTACTCTGCTTTCAAAGAGCACATATATCACACATTGTAACTGCTCATAAAATATTTTGCTGTGTAGTCTCCTGGCCATTCCCCTCCTGGGGTGAATCACACTGTTAGGAGGGGCCTCCCACAGCACCCAGCCACCCAGTCCTGCTCACTGAAATTCTGCCACCATTTCCTATTCTTTGGTCTCCGGGAGAATAGCTACATATGGGCACACTCTCCAGGTGTCTTGTTTATCATGGAAATTTTGACGAAGAAGAGATGACTAGCAGGGTCCTTCCTCAGAGATGGGATCAAGCTTTTCCACCTCTTTGTATTTCTATCCCCTATACAGGCACTTCTAAATGCTTATTAATGTTGCTGCTGAGAGCTCTGTCATCAGGCCTATGTGCTTCAAAGATGCCAGAATGGAAACAGATTATTTGCTGTGTTTAATTTGAAGTTTTTCATACATCATTTCAGTCATGCTCACTGTGTGTCATTAAAAAAGTTTCGTAGCATTTTGAAAGCCCTATGGAAAAAACCTTGGTTGGAGGTGAAAGTACACTTGATCTTGCTTAATATTTATTTGTACTTATTCTGCTCATTTCTAAAAAGAACGAAGAGCTCTCTGATTAAAGTGCTGCTTTTACAGAGTCTGGCAGAGGTCAGAACAATACATTTCCCCATTCTCCTTCCCTCCTCATTTCGTGAACAGCCCATGTCTCATCTGGGTTTGTTCCCCCCGCAACCTCCCAGCCTTCAGGCTTGGGTCCCTCCGATCCCTTCTCCACACTAAGGTCTGAGTGAGCTGGTGAGAACACAGGTGGCTCATGTTCCTGCCCTTCTCAATACCCCTCCGTGGCCCCAGCTGCTGAGGGGATGTCCCTGTGGCCCTGCTTTCCTTTCTGGCACCATCTTCCCACACCCACTTTGCCTTCTGTGCTCTGTTTATAAGGACCTCTCAGGTCCTTAAAAGTGTCCTGCTTGCTTTCACCTCCAGCCTCTGTCTACGTTGCTTCCTCAGTCAGGAACTCTTCCTACTCCTCCCCCCAGCTCCCTCCTAGTCATTCTTCTTGTCTTATTCAGAAGCTGCCTCCCCTGGGAAGCCCTCCTAGGTGTGCCTGTACACTGCCTGCTACTTTATCCAAGTTTCCTCAGACTGCACCATGTTGACGTGCTCTGTCCCCAGGTGACTACACATGGGGGGAGGGCAGTGATCATGTCTGCTTATTCATGACTATGTCCTACAGCATGTGGACTAGCACGCAGTGGGGCTTCAATATCACTTGTGGGATGAAGGAATAAATGAATGAATGCATACTAGGACTGCAACCAGGGGATCACACCAATGAGGTATGAGTTAGAATTTTGTCTCTTCAGAGGATATGGACTCAAAGAACAGAACTTACAGCAAAACACTACTTTAGTTCAGGATTCATCAGCTGGCATGTGAAGGAGGCAGCTGGCTTGGAGACTGTAATTCCCCTCCCACAGTGACTCCTAAGGAGCCACCCACAACTGGACCCCTCTTTCCTGAGGATTCAGACATGCTTTTCTGTAACACACTTTGGAGAGATAAATGGAGACTCTGTTTAAAATGGAATCTCATTGGGACAAAACACTAAAGCTCACTCAGAGTGAAATTTCACATTACAAACTTCAAGTGAACAGCAAACTCCACAATTTAAATTCATTCCAAAGAGGGCAGCAAGCCACAAATTAGTAATGCTACTTCTTACCTGCAAAACTACACATCAATTTCCAAAACATAAGGTCAGTTGCATGTGGCAGGAATGCCCTAGAGGTCTGAGAAACCCTGGGTTTGGCACTTCCAACTAAATAGCTGGAATTTGGCCATCTGATATAAATGCTAACTTGAGGCCAGGCATCAGGCTGGCTCTAGGGTTATGGCAGCGCGGAGAACCAGTCTGGTCCCTGTCCTTGTGGGGAGTCCAGCCTAATAATCAAACACAGACTTCAATACAAACTTCTTCAAGAAAAAATTCTCTCCCTAAATTCTAGGTACACCATGTTCAGCTATTAAATTAAATCCACCACACATGGGATTGTGGAGTAAGGCATCATGTCAGCTACTTCCGCATGGTAAAGGATTCTTTTTTAAAACCATATTTTCCACAAATCAACAGATTGATGACACTAAAGAGAGGGTAATGTTTCAACATTCAAACCAAATGACGAAGGGCTTGGTTTTTATTTCATCCTTACACAGCTAGTAACCACCCTCTAAAACAAAACCAAAATAAACACATTTCTGTGTGAAATTCTCCTGCCTTTCAGAATAATCATATGTTTACTTTTATTATCTGGCACACAGAAGGTGCCAGATAAATGCTTGTTGAAGTAATAAATCACAGGAGAGGTATCACTATGAAAATGCCACTGTCAATTTTAGGTGTGCTCTTCAACTTCATTTTTTTTCTCTTAGGGAAAAATATGCATTTTTTTCTAGGATTCTGATTTTCATTTTGGGCTAGTTACTTAATACAGATATACTTTTCTTCATTATAAAATAAAGTTTGTCTTGATTATTGTGAGACTTAAAAGAGGCAGTAGATATAAAGTGATTGGCTCTATGCCCTGCAGATAATATTTGCTTTTTCTTTCTTTTCTCTTTTTTTCCTCTCTACTCCATCCTCTTCTAACCCCCAAATAAAGCATCAAAGACAAACCAAATTACTGGTGTGATTAGGAAGTCGGGAAATTTTCAAATGCAGACTGAGATCACCAACATCTAGCTCTCAACCCTTGAAAAGTTTTATTTACCATTTTGTGGCCTTGATTTTTTCTTTTATAAAAAGAGTGAATTTCACTAGTCCATCTTTAAGGGGCTTTTCAGTTCTGATTTTCCTTGAACTCAGAAACCTGTCTCACAGAGAAGTTAGATTCTATTAACACATTAAGGTCATCTGCAATCAGAAATAAAATGGCTTCTGATTCCCTTTATAAAGAGGGATTCTAAATTACAAATGAAAATAAAACTTGACTTCTAAAAGAATTTATGTCAGTCTAATACGTAGGCCAATAATTGGTGACCCTATTCTTAAGCAACAGAAGGTCTCTCCTTCTTCCCCATGGCACACATCCCCTCCCCCGCTGCCCGTGCATCCAACATCCCACACATCTAACCTGTACCCCGGGGGCGGCTTCCCATTCCCAGCACTGCAACCATGTACTTCAAAAGAACTCTAGGGCTTTTACACAGTATCACTAATTACAAATGGAACATTTGAAATGCGTAAGTCAATTGACACAATCTTACGTCAAACCTAACATTTGCTTGATTTTTTTTCTTTCACACCCTGAAATATATCCAAGCGGAGCTGAACAAAGAACTACCAAGATTGTACAAAACAAAAATCTCTCTGCGTTTTC